GGATCGAAGTCGCCCTCCATTATATTCCGATCCAGCCCATCTCAAAAATCATTTCAGCGCGTAACCTCAAACATATCAATACCGAAGCACTCTCATCTCGTATCACCGCCTCCATACCATCTCTGACCACACTCACAAGCTGCCTAAGTCCTGACTCGCTGGATGACATAACGGAGCGCTTTTCAGCGGCAGTACTTGGAGCGTTTGACGGCCTTGCACCAATTAGGAGGATCACCCTCTCGTCTCGGAGAAAACCATGGGTTACTCCGCAGATAAGAGACATGATGTCGACAAGAGATCGCGCCTACCTTAACGCCCGGCGCACGAGGCTGCCGTCCGAAATAAAGATTTATCGCCATCTCCGCAGTGGGTCTCAAACACCCTCTCCACAGCCAAAAACTCTTACTTCGCCCATCTCATCAACTCATCTTCAAATCCGAAAGAGAAATGGTCCGCCCTTCGTAAACTCAACTTCACTAGCCCTACCCTACCTACGCCTACCCAGATCTGTTCCCCAGACACACTCATCTCCACATACACTTCGGCAACAGCTTCAACAACACCGCTCACCCAAAATGATTTACATGATCTGCTTGCCGACGCCCCGTCATCAGAACCCGTTGCACCCCCTTTTAGTTTCAAGCCCACATCGACAGAAGAAATTCATCAATCAATCACCTCATCGTCGTCAAAGGCAATAGGTCATGATGGTCTATCTAATAAAATGCTACGCCTCTCCCTCATAGTTATCCTACCATTTCTTACCCTTTTATTCAATAGTCTTATCCTGCTCTCGCATTTTCCCTCTCTGTGGAAGAGGGCCCTCCTCCTCCCTCTGGCTAAGACGCGTCAACTTATCTCACCGTCCGACACCCGCCCCATAGCTTCCCTTTGTGAAATCTCCAAGGCCTTCGAACGTATCTTATTTCGACAGCTTTCTGACCATTTTTCGGAAACAAACGCACTAAACCCTCGTCAGTCCAGCTTCAGGAGAGGACATAGTACTCAGTCCGCTCTCCTTAGCGTGACTGAGGATATAAGAGAGGCGATAAATCGTCAGGAGATCACGATCTTGGTCCTACTTGATTTCTCAAAAGCCTTCGACACCGCTCTCCACCTGAAGCTTTTAAATAAACTTAAAAGTTACAACCTCTCCAACAGCGCTTTAACACTAATTCATAGTTACCTTCTTAACCGTCGCCAGGCCATTGAGGGGGGGGGGACGCTGTCTCTGGCTGGTCCTCTGCTCCTGCGGGCGTACCTCAGGGCAGCGTCCTTGGCCCTCTCCTTTTTTCACTTTACATAAATGACCTGCCGGCCTCCCTATCCCACACAAACCACATGATCTATGCCGATGACACCCAAATTTATCTCCACTGTCCATTCGCCTCCATTAATCAGGGCATTGCTCGCCTGAATCGTGATCTTGAATCGGTAACATCTTGGGCCCACCAAAACGGCCTTCAACTCAACCCATTAAAATCTAGGGCCATGATTCTGGGCAGCCTTGCCTACATCACTCGTCTTGACCTATCATCTCTCATCCCCATCCACATCCATGGTGTACAGATCCCCGTTGTGGAGTGGGCTACGAATCTGGGCGTCGTTATCACTCCAACACTACACTGGACTCTTCAAATTAACAGGATCAATCAGAGAGTGCATCAAACACTGCGATCGCTCAGATTTCATAGACACGCCCTGTCACGTGGCCTCAGAAAGTCGCTCGTTGAGACCCTCGTCTTTCCCCATCTAGACTATGCCTCATCTGTATTCTTCAACCTTGACACAAATCAGAATCTAAAAATGCAACGGGCTATTAACGCTTGGGTCCGCTTTGTTGTGGGCTCGTTACCGAGAATTGCACACGTCACACCTTGGAGACTACAGTTGAGCTGGCTCTCGGCGCGACGCAGACGGGAATATCATCTGGGGTGTCTGGCCTTCAACATCATTCGTCATCAATTCCCCGCATACCTCGCAAATCGTTTTCGCTCTGCATCTCCAATAGCCTCATCTCAACGCAACCTACGTCGCCCTCACCCCATTCTCATAGTCCCACCCTCCCGCACCAGAGCACGAGATGATGCCTTTTACATTCAAGCCTCAAACCTTTTAAACTCACTTGCATCCATCAACCTTGATGACTACATCTACCAGACCTTCAAAGCCATGCTACAGGACACCCTTCTGCGGCGCGATCAGAATGAGTGGAATGAGCGCGTGGAGCGTGAGTGCATAGTCCTGCAGGCCCAGCCTGTCGGGCCTTCTGATAGTGCGGGCAGCCCGATGGTGTAGTCAGCCTTCCACTGCACTCATACATTTCACAACCAGATACCTCGAGCCCTTCGTTATTCACCCGCTTTGTTACGCGCCATTATTATTTCAACACTTACTTGCACCTCACCAAACGTCATTCCAAGCAATTTGTTATTTCGCACCAACTCTGTCACGCGACATTTTCATCCCATAAACATCCTCATTATACACTCGCCTTCCACACAATACGCACTCACCAGCCTTTCTCTCGCCACTACAAACTGATCATCCTGCCTTCTTCAGCCATCACAATTAAACTTGCATTGCCCTCCATTCGAATCATTCCATCGCGCTAAAGACTTCTCTCATCACTTCTTTCGTCCTTCTTATCAGCCTCATTACCTTCCTAAGCTATCAAAATCATTCACCCAGCCTTACCTATGCCTGCTATTTTTCGCATTATGTAAACTAGCTTCAGTGTTACCATTAGTATTTAATCTTAAGTGAACATTTGCTATAAACCTTAGTCTTTAAGTTTTAGGTTATAATTTGCTTTACATTGTAATTCTATTTGGCCAGATGGGGATCTTCCCCTAGGCGTAATAAACTTCTAAACACTCTCTTTCTCTCTCTCTCTCTCTCTCTCTCTCTCTCTCTCTCTCTCTCTCTCCGCGTCCCTCGTGCTACGCTGGCATCCTCCTATGCCTCAGTTTTTTCACTTAATTAATGTAATGTGTACTGTTCTGCATGCACTAATGACCTGTCTAATGTATCTATTCTATTTATTTAATTTATCATTATTATTTAATATTTAATAATTTGTTCAGCTGTTTGTGGAAACTTGAAAGTAGCTACCAATTGTAAGTCGATTCAATCTGGGTTGTTATGTGACACCTTATCTACTTACTTAATTTATTTATTTCCATATTAACATGCGCCCAAAAACATTGTGAAGCTTACGAGATTTTCCTTTTATAAATAATACTTTTTTTTTAATATGTTAATACGATACAAATGTAAATGCTCTGTGCTTCGAAATCGCCATTTGTATGAGATGCTCTTGGCATAATAAACCATTTTTCATATCAAATCTCTCTCTCTCTCTCTCTCTCTCTCTCTCTCTCTGTCTCTCTCTCTGACCGGAAATGCAGTAGAAAAGCTCCCTTCCCCTACCAACACTTAAAATGGTATCGTGGCTTCCTGGGAATCGGTAACAAAATCGGCATTTAGCTCACCATTTAGCAAGAAATAATTATGGCCCCAATCCCGTTCTGCAATCTTTTTTTCATTCGGAGATACGCGTTTGTAGCCAGCTTGCTTAATGTCTAGCTAACATTTTTATAGTTATTAAAGAGCAGAATGCCCGTCAAAGTCGTTTTTGACTTAAAAAATTTGTAACAAATTAGCGTCAAATTATAAACCTAACCCTGACTGTGGCATAAAGTTTTGGACAGCTAGCTTGATATACCTTCATTTGAAATTTTTGCGTCTTCAGAAAATATAACACGTTTTACTTAGTTTGATATGTGTACATGATACGAATCTTTAAAGAAACAATATTAAATCTTTATATTTCTATATGACC